AAGGGACACCAATGCTCACTAGCACTGAGTTCCTTTTGTCGACAGGACTGGGTGGAAAAGGATGCTGCCAGGGTATCCTGCATCCTGCAGGCAGGATGTAAAATTGGCACAACCATTCCAGCTTGATACATGCCAAGCCAAACAGCCTAACTTTATCTTTTCCCAAGGCGGGTTTTCTGGAAAAACTTTCTCATTAATAAGAAAAAAAAAAAAGAAAAAAGATAATCACTGGTTTTTTTCCTCCAATTCAGTACATTTGGATGAGAAAACACCATTGTCACTCTCCGTCCACCTCTGCCCAACATTATCCCCTCACTCTACCAGTGAGTCCCTTTCCCCCACTGCATCCCATATGTCCTCCTCACCTTCCCCTCTTACAAACTGCAGCGTGTCACTGAGGCATTGACACCTCCCCACATTTTCCTTCCATCCAGAAACATGCACTCCACATTATCACCTTCTTCCTCCTCTCCATAAGGGCCCTTCCCCCCTCAGCTTGCCCAACACCACCTGGCCAGCCCAGCCCAGCTGGAGGAATCAGAGGAGTCAGACCAGACTTCCCATTCCCTCCTGCTCCTCCTTTGTGCTGCCTGTATCCAAACACTCTGCCTGTTGCTCCTGCCCAGATTGAGACACAGACTCAGGGATGTGGAAACCTCTTTTTTTACTCCCTTTTACACCTCCCATGATGAAGTCCTGATTGCTGGCTAGAGCCAGTAGGTGCTGCTGTGTTCAAACAATAAATAATAACCATTCTTAACCACAGCCATTTAAAAATAATCACATTTTGGCTCCTGAAACACCCAGCAGCTTTTACATTTGAATGCTGTAAGTGTAACCCATGTAGGTTTTTCAACGGTATTTGTTGTTCTGGATGGTTAAAAACATTTCTCCTGAGCAGGGGGATGCCAATCAATGCAGCTACACCACTAAACAAATACAGCTCCCTGCTCCAATCCATTATCTGAAGAGTTATTTCTGTATCCACTTACAGAGGAAAGTTGTTATAAAGAAATATGACTAATAGCAAACACAGGAGCCTTTTCCAATATTCCAATTTTCACACGTGGATGAGTTTGGGTGATTGTTCTTGGGCCATGCCACTGGAGCAAAACAGTCAGCAAGTGAACCTATGTAGCATTTTCCGTTTATTACATTTATATGTGGAAACACCAACACATCCTCATTGCAGACTCTCTGGCTCTCATTCGCTGCTTTTCCATGCTGCTAACCAAGGAGGAGGTAGTGGGGAGCTACTTAGAAACAAAAAGCAGCTAAGACACACCATTGGTTAGAACAGGAAAGTGAGGGGCAGCTCCATACCACGGCCTCTGGATCTGTGAGACCATCAGTGGCTGATGGTTTTAACTCCAGGTCTGTCAGTGGCCCACACTGAGAATCCAAACAGGAGTTCATATGTCTGTCAACATCTGTTTTCTTGCTTTTGGCTATTTAGATGGAAGAGGAGGCAACTTCAGCCCCAGTGCTTCATATGGCTCATCAGCACCAGGACGTTTTCTGCTCTTTCTAGGTCCACCTCTACTGTACCTTGATGGCCAGATAGCCAAAAGTGCTTCAACAGCTGTTTAGCCACCATGAAACTGAAAGTTTCCCCATCCCAGATGTGCACTATGGTATTCTGGGATAAAAGCTGCATCGCTGTGTGTTTGCATAGCACAGGGCTCCAGACCTCTGCTGACATCCACCCCAGTGACTGGGCTGGGCAGGCACTTTTCTGAAACCACCTCTGAAAACACTCAACTACATAATTGTGCTTTTTGCCTCAGAAAGAACAAAAAGTAGAGGTCTTGGATTTCACCTTGTATTATTAAATGCTTTAACCACACTGCTCCACTTGCTGGGTGAGGAGTAGGTGGCTGATTTTCTCTCCTATCAAAAGCAGTTAAGAGATGACAGCATCTTTCCCTTCAAAACAGTGTCGTTTCATCAAGTGACTAGTCCAAGGTGGAGCTGACAGAGAGATGCAGAAATTATGTTGTCAGGCAAACATGGCAGGACTCGGATCTTCCATTACATCCCAGGCCATTGGAAAACTGAGTCATCCTCCTGTTGAAATGAAGCATTTATATTATTTGCCAGAATTATAACAAGAAAATGTGCTGGGAGGGTGATCTTCATGATCTTTCAATGACTCCCTGAAGAAACCTTTCTCTCTCTGATGACTATCCCAGGAAGCTTTGGGCAACCACACCTGTGATTCAGGTGCCTATATTTCAGTGCTGTGGAGGATTGCCCATGGAAAACAGGAAAACAGTGGCTCCTGGCTAGGGAGACTGGTTAGGATGGGCATGCCCCAAATCCTATTCCCAGCTCAAAATCCCAGAAAAGCGGCCTAGCAACCAGGTTTTGACTTCAGTGTGAGTGTGCTTTGAGTAAGTACTTTGAAAACCTTCACATTTTTCACATGCTGGAGTAGTTTCCTGTAGTTTCCTAGTCCAGTCCAGTTTCAAACCTATGCCATTGCAGGAAAAAAATCCCTAAATACATTTGACAAGTATCATCTCAAAATGTAGAGAACAGAAGGCAAATGACCCTGTTAATTTACTTTTCCATAACTTCCAAGGCAATCACATAATTTTCTAGAGCGTATCTGAGTTTTGGGGCACAGCAGTACTGAGAAACTGCTCTGTGACAGCCACATGGGCAACAAGGGAGATGGTGCCTCCATCATTCCTTCGGTGTTTAGCAGATTCAGCTTTATTCCTTACGGAGTTGGTACCTGCACCATCCCAGGGCCTCTATCTGCTCTCAGTTGCTCACCAACCAATACATCCTACACCTAAGTCACAAAAATACAACATTCATGGGCATTAACGGAATGAGTTGGACTGAGCTAAATAAAGAATAGCTAGGAAAAAAAAAAAAGACTAGACACTAGAAGGTCTAACATAAGTGGAAGCACTGTTCTGTCCTTCTCCTCTCCAGGAGCGACTGTCTGGAGGGGGGACAGTGAGCAGGCAACCCTGGCTTCTTTCTGCAGCCACCACAGCAGGCACCAGTTGTTCACATCTGTCTGAGGAGCCCCACTGGGAACAGGCACTGATTCCACAGAAAACTATGCTGTCATTTTAATTAAACTGCTTCATGCCAACAGCAACAAGTTATACTAATGAGAGCAGATGTATCCAGTAAACAGTGGCATGTTTCTATTTTAATCTACTTAAACCTGGATATATACTAATTCCTCAGTAAATACCTCAGTGGCCAGCAAAATGAAAAACACATGATAAAAGAAGAAGTTTGCTTGTGACCCTTGAGACATGGGTATAATGTTTGGCTTGGCATCATTAATCTTATGGTCAGAAGAGTACAGCTTTAGCATGTGTAATGTGAGAGAACTGCTCACAGCAAAGTTTCCTCTCTACAGTGCCCTCTGCAAACAGTAATTTCCACATTTTTCTCTCTTCCCTGTAATTAGCTTCCCTTTGGCCTGACACACTCTGAAAGTATTGCCAGCTGAAGAGACCTATCCATCTCGTCTCTTGAATAAAAACATGAGCTAATTGAGTGGAGGGTATTTAAGCAGAGTGAACTGTATAAGGTATCTCATGCCTCAAGATAACTGATTCTTAAAGAACAGCACCTTAAATAAATCCTTTTGAAATGTTCTCTCAGGCTGATGGGTAAATAATTAATTGCTCCCCAGTGTGTCAATAAAAATCAATCCTCTGACATGAGGCTAAATGAATGGGAATTTTGTCACAAAATTCAGTGGGGTTGGCATTTCACTGTGTGTAACACAGGGATAGAGACAAGGCTCTGTCTTTGTATGACAAACTTTTGATGTCAGTATTTAACTGAAAAAAACAAGTAATGTGAAAAACAGAGGTGACTTTGATTGCCTCCTTCCTCTGTAGCCAATGGGAATCAGCTTTTGATACTGAACTGATCAAAACACTCACTTCAAATAATGCATGCTATGAATTTAGTTCTTTCTACAGCTAGTGAATCATTGGCAGATTGATCTTGATTCCTGAAAATGTCATTCTTAAGCAGGCTATGATTAGTGATTAGTATCACACAATATTTTCTTGTCATCTGGCTGTTTGCAAGCTGTAACCTTTCGGTATTCAGTATACAGATTTTGTAATTGCTGACTTCAGTCACTAGGCTTATCCTCCCTGATTGGATGATGAGCATTTTAAAACAATGCCATATCAAATGATAAAAGAAAACTTCCATCCCACATATAACTCTTGTGGGAAATTAAGGACACATGAATATCACGACGAATAACCAAAGTTGTTTTCATACGGAAGAGTAACAAATTTATTCCCTCAGCTTTATCAAGCTGAAAGAAGTGCTTTCAATTAAAAACAAAACAAAACAAAAAATCATTTTGGTATTTGAATGTTTTTTTTGTGATTCATCCCATACAGAAACATCCTCCTGCAATCATGCTCCATCCAGGGATTTCTACTTGGGGTCCAGCAGGACCCCAGATCTTTCTAGAGCTTTGCTGTCTTCCTTTATCTGTGCAGAACGACTCACTTAATGGCCCTTTACACCACATAAAAACTGAAAGGAATTTGACAATACCGCAAGCAGTTCACGGCACCTATCCCGGAGGGAAAAAAAGAGTAGAAGTCTGACTGTAGTAATTTCATTAAGCCATTTCCCACCTTCTGGGCAGATCTATGAGGTGAGTAGGAACCAAGCAAGCTGGGTTGTCTATTTATTGGTAGACTTGCATAATAGCTGTAGTACAATGTGTTGAGACTGGCCATTTATTAGTTTACCAAAAGTTTGTGACAAGCCAGGGCTTATTCTGTGACCGATCCATGCCCTTGCAGATATCAGTTGTAACTTGCCATGGAGTGACACTTCATCTTAGAAATGCTAAAGGTGAGTTTGTGTGAAGCTGCTTACTCAAACAAAAGTTTGTGTTTCTTTTTTTTTTTTTTTGGTGGTGGTGGTGGTGCGGTTTTTTTGTTTTAGTTTTGGGGTTTTATTTTTCCTTTATCATGATGGAGGACTCCTTGAATTTCTTTTCCAGATTTCAAATGGAAAGTTGAAGACCTTGCACAGTTCCTTGTGAGTGTTGTCTTCTTTATGACCACCAGGTTTGGGGTCAGGAAGGAATGAAACACTACTGTCCTGGTTTTGGCTCGGGTAGAGTTAATTTTCTTCTTAGAAGAAAACACAAATCCTTGGAGAAAAAGGAGGATAAATATTTAAAACAGCCTTTGAAAGTTAAGCACACAGAAGTGATTAACAAATAACAGGAATTGTGCTTGTTCTCTTTGCAGACCACTAAAAATTCTCCACTCACCAGGCTGGCACATTAACAAATAATATGATTTGTACCACTTTCTGAGCCTGTTCTACAGAACTGAAAAAAAGAACAACAGGGAGGCAAGGAAAACAACTGCAAGTAAAAACAATCATCTTCCCCACAGTATTTTCTATAAAGAGACTTCCTTCCCTCTAATATTATGGCAAACTACCTTTTTAATCCTCTTGCAGCCAATGAGTAGTTATTTTCTCCTCTTCTTCAAAATGAATCTTTTTTTTTCTTTTCTTTTTTTTTTTTTAATATATGCTATTAGGACTTGAAGAGCCACAAAAGCCACTTTCAGGTCCAGTTCTGTTCTACTTGCTGGCCAGCTGGGCTGTCCTACAGCCAAACCCCATCAAGCTGCACCATGAAAGTAGCTGTCTTTAAGGAGACTCCCCCTGACAGAACACGACGAAATTACCACTGCATCAACACAGGTGCATTTACTTTGTCTGCCCTATAAATCCGGCCTGTAGGATGACTTGTATAAATAAAATGAATTATTTTGTACTTGTGAGGACTTGATAGGGGTCAGTGATTTGCTGAACACTAGCAGAATTTCTCAGCACAGAATGGGTAAACCAGGAGGTCTTAATTCAAAGTGTTAGATTATCCAGGCGTGATGGCTTAATACAAGTGGGAGGAAGGCATAATACAGGGAATCATTACTTACACATGTGCATTTATGAAATCATTACTGTGCTGAAGTAGTTCATTTGTCTGCCTTTTTAACTACAGACCTTTGGTTTGAGGAAGACTGACAATGCATCCACTAGCAGGAGCTCTGGATCACCTGTAATTGAGGATTTTACCACTCCATGCCTTTAGTGTGGTCCTTCTAGAAAGGTGCCAGGCTCATTTATGTCCATCTCCAGGTGGATGAGAGATGCCAGTGGCATCCTGTTTTCATTAGGTTCATTAGAGTGTCACTGGGCTCTCAGGGAGCACTAGCTCCTGAATGAGAGACTCTCTGATCCCTTTAATTTTCACAGCTTTGTGCTCTGCAAACTTTTATGTGAACAGGTTTTGCTGGGATTATTTGAGGCCTTGTCAATACTTCTTTTGTGATCAAAAGATAAGGCCTTCTCTCTCTGTACGATTGGAAGAGAGCACAGGCAAATATTAAAAGGCTTTGTTTTCTTTCCAGTTCAACAAACTCATGATCCTCATTCTCAGCTGCCTTCCTTCAACTGCCTCGATGTAAAAGGCAAATTTTTGTAGGTGGCCATTTGCATCTGATGTTGGGAGGGTGAGAGGAGAGGACTGTGTTGTCTGTGGGCACTGTCTTGGTCTTTCACTTCATGCCTTGGCTCTTCAGGGACACCTCCGAGGCACTGCACAGCTGGAGCAGCACTAAGTAGCTGCAAGGAGAAAACTGTCCTCGAGCTGGTTCCCACACACTCCACCCTCCCTCACCTTCAACACGAACTGTCATTGTGAGGACATGAAGAGGAAAAGCCAAGCCCTGCCTGAACGAACACAATCCTTGGCAATATAAACCATTTTGGAACAACTTTGTGCAACGCTGCCAACAGAAACATGAACCTTCTCTTAAGAGCCTTCTCCTGGTTTTTTCCACCATTAAGGCCTCCATTGTAGCCTCAGGCTTGAACAATATTTCTTGGAGTGTTTAGGAGCAGGGTGTTCTTCCCAGATGATCTAATTTCCAGCTAATCTCTTGCCTGTCAACTGTTTCAGCTGAGGTAAATTTTGAAGTGAATTTTGCTGTGGCAAAGAAGAAGGACACCAGGAAAGGCTCTTCCCAAGTCAGTGGAACAACTGTGTCTGAGCAATATCAGCATCAAGCACTCAGTAATTCTGAATCAGTCATATGAATCACCCACTCATCACCAGCATTAACATTTTCTGTTTATGCCTGACCTCTGACAGGTTTTCTTTTATCTCTACCTTTTCGGTAATGCCATTTACCAAAAACTGTTAGACACAAGATGATATGCCACTTATTGCAAGTCAGCCATCACACCAAAAGCACAAAGCCTGATCTGAGGAGGTTAGAGCAGCCACAATGCTAATTTGAATGCTGTAATGGCTTTGCTTCAGACTTGCTGGTTTTGTTTTCCATGTTTTACCAATATTTGTGAAAAGCAAATCTACTTTAAACAGATTTCAAACAAATAATTCAGGACACCTTTACAAAGTTATAAAATTCCTATTCATAACTGGAATTGCGCAGAACACAAATTCAGAGTTCAGGAGTTACACTCATCTAAGTAGGGAACACATCCTATCAGGGAAGTGACAGACCTCATAAAAATAGCTCAGGTTGCCAACATTGAATATGAAATGCTCCCCGCAAATTGCTCTCCAAGAGGCTGCTAGTGAAGAATGATTTCCAGGAGTGATTCAGCAAACAGCTCCAGAAAATTACAATCTCTTCATGGACAATTCACAAATGAAAGATACGGTTTGTTGAATGAAATTCATTACAAAAGATTCTTTTACCTGTATTTATCCCTGTGAAAACAGTCATGGCTCTCAGGTGGACCCTCTAACATTTACACCACCAGTAATGCTCAGTATCTAGAGGCCAGGCAATTTTATGCTGAACTTCTGCTCTAAGTAATAAGAAATTATGCTAAATGTCTAAAGCAAGAAATGGTAAAAGATTTTCCTTTTCCTCCTGTTTTTTTTCTTTTCATATCATGTAGCAATCAATGCACAAAGAGCAGTAAGAGAAACTTCAATAAAATAATGTCAACCTGAAGGACTGCATTTTTCAAGCAGTGCCTTTTTGGATGGCAGGAATTTTTTGCCTCTGTATGACAATACTGATGTAAACTGGACCATAGAGTCATTTCTGTGTGTCTTTGCCCATGTGATATGCATTTTTAGGTTTCTACCAGAGGAGCATATTGTTTATACATCATGTCTTGAGCAACAAAGTAGGTTGAAATTGCTTTTCAGAGAAAGCACCCTCAATTCCCAGGGGCAGGACTGACTTCGAAAATAACAAGTTGTGCCATGAGACTAGAGTGATTTCTTTACAGCCTCCCCCTCTTGTGTCCTGTAATGGCCTCACAAAATGCTGATGGCACACTAGAGAAAGGAGAAGCAGGGAAATAAAGAGGTGTCATTTCTTTAGGTGAAGCAGCATAATTCCCTGGTGCATTCTTCTATCAGGTCAAAGTAACCTCATTTACAAAATAAAATCAAAAATTAATTGAAAGGGTGGTGGTTGTTGTTGTCATTATTATTATTATTACTGTTATTCTTTACTGACTGTCCTACGATAACTTGGTTTGTTGTTTCCCTCTTGTGGGAATGACAGGATTTAAGGATGCTATTCTGGAAGTACGTTTACACCAAAAGGAGGCAAACATTATCTGCCATTCTCCTGCCTTCCTTGGCTGTTCCCTCACAGCTAGATCCCCTTGGGAAGCAAACAGAAGTTTCAGGTGTTACTGCAGCAAGCCCTGTCAATGCTTCAGTGCTCAGCTGTGTTGAGTCACGGCTTGGTCTGCCTTGCATGAGATGGGTTTGTGGAGACCTCTCCCTGCTCCTGCCCAGACCTGTCTCCTTGGAATATGCTCTACGTGAGCTCCTGAGCTATAAACAAGTAATGTTTGCCAAGCTGGCGACAACAGTGCTGCTCAGTGTTTGCTGCTATCTTCTCTTAATTTCCTGGGGCACGGAGGCCCATATGTGCATGTGTTCACAAATTCTCCCCTCCCAGTTCACAACCTCTGAGGTGGCCCCAGTGCCCCGTGTTCATCAGAGAGAGATTGGCAGCTTCAGGGGGTGACTCATCACATGAGCAGGAAGACATCCAGACAATGAGAGTCTTACATTGAAGGGGGAACTAGAACAGTGGCTGGTGCTAGAAAGAGAACCTTGGCTGATAAAGCAAATGTTCAATCAGGTTTAACAAGGGCTGAGGTACCTGCATGCTGTCAAACCAGAGATACCACTCCAGGTGCCTCGCAGCTCAGATGTTCCCGACACAGAGGCTCTTTTGCACAAAGCCTGCAGATAACAGAAAATCAACTATATTTTTTCTTGTTTATGCAGAGGGTTTTTTTCTGTGCATCTTTTTCTAGATTTTTTTTTTTTAAATTAAAATGCAGATAGCGTACCTGAAATATTTGGTGGTATTTTAAACAGCTTTGTAAATAATCCTAGACTCACCTTGCAGGCTGTCACAAAACACAGACAAACAGAAAAATTTTCTTCTCTTTTTTTTCCGTGTACTTGACACTGGAGTGAGGCCAAAATATGGAGGAAGAGACAATATCACCCAAAAATGTGTCTCAAAAGAGGTGGCAGAGGGCAGTTGCATCAGGCTGTTTGGGTGCCTGGTCCAACACATTGCCATCAGTTGAGTAGAGGCAGTGAGCAGTTGATCTCTGCAGAAAATCATCAAAACCATCAAAAAAATCATCAAAACCTAGAGGTATGCACTCTGGGTCTAAGAGGAGCTAGGCACTCCTCCAGAATCACAGCAATGCTGCTTGGAAGGGACTGGGGAGATCTTCAGCACAGCCCTCCATTTGAACCTACACTATTGCCAACATAAGATGACATCAGCCAGGAGACTGTCAGAAAAAGGGTAATCATAAAAAAAAGAAAGTATATGGGAAGGGAAGCCCTGGGAAATAAAGAGTCAGAAAGAGTCAGAAAGAGAGAGAATTTGGGATGAGAAGCACATGAGAAACCCGACCTAGTTGAAGGTGTCCAACTCCCCTGAAATGAGCTGGGGAATTGGACTAGATGATCTTTAAAGGTCTCTTCCAATTCAAATATATATTCATATATGATTCTGTGACATGTATTGCACAGACTTGAAGGCTGTCCTCCGTAAAAGGGTCGCATGTCTGCTTCTGGAGTCTACAAACACTGACACATCATATGCCACTAAGCCCTAGATGGTGTTCTGTTTCCATGAGTTTCATCTACCATGATATAACAATCTGCTCTGTCATATCCTAAATTCTGGGGTTTTTTTCCTTGGGCTCTGGATCAATATAGCTCCTAGAACAATGAGAAACTGATCTTGAACCTGTGTTATCCGAGGCAACTGCACAAGTGAGGACACTCACACTGATTTGGAAGTAAATGAAATGATGCTTCCTCATTGCTCTGTCTATAGTCATGAGCCTCCCTCTCCTATGAACATGTGAAACTTGGCAGCTCAGTTTTGTTTTGCTTGTTATTGGGAGGGATTGCCCTGGCAGGGATCCTGAACCAGCACACCACATGCAGTGGGACATTCTCTGCATCTCATTCAGAGCCTTAGGGAGCCAGGTTTCCACAAAAGAAATTGGGTTTGGAAATTCTTCACCCTCCAGTAGAGCAAATGCATGAATATTTCTGTTCCTGACCTGATTTTCCATCACTTCCAGGGGATATTTCAATTCCTTATTTTTCCTGATTAGAGGAGGAGAGACCGCTTTGCTTTGCTGTTTCCTTTCCAAGTTCACTAGCTTGCTAGTTCTGAATGTCCTGGGTGTTTCCCTGTCCCCTCACCAGTAACCCTTTTAGGAAGTTTCCCAGTCACAATCTTGATCCATTTTAAATAACCAGTTACTCCCAGCTGGTTTCTCCACCACTCCCTTCTGAGGTCAGACCACCAGAAGTGAGAGGGGGTGGATATCACTTCATTTGTCTCTCTGATCCTATTCCGAGAAAGAAGGAAGCTCACCAGTCAGACAGTGATGCTTTGTGCTCACACACTGGTTCTACTTGGTCATTACCTTTCCCTGACTCACCTAATGACCTCACCCTTCCTTTCCTCAGGAGATGTCCCTAACTCACTAGGAGGTTGGCAAGGATGCAGCTGAGACAACCTTCATGCTCTGGAACTGTTCTCATATGTTTCTTCGTGTGATGTCTCTAATGCCATGCTCACAACAGTTCACAGCAAGAAGGTTGAGTTGAGGCATCCTCTTCATCCTCAGGGAAAGACTTCCTGCCCTTCTTGTCTCCCATGACGTCACAGCAGCTATAAGCCATTCTTAGCTGTGCCCTAATGGGCAGGGCAAGCTCTGGTTTGTTTCCAGCTGTGCTCCAGAGCTCACCTGCAGCTTTCACCCATGAAAGAGTTCAGTTCAATCAGTTTAGATGCACCCAGGCAGAGGAATTCCTTCAGTTAGTGACAGAGCTATGGGAGGAGGTGAGGAGGTTGAGGAGAGAGAGAGAGAGACTACTGGAATCACATCCTACCTTCCCTGGGACAGGCCTGGACAGGGAGACAGGACACATGATACAGGGGATTCCCTGTCTTCTCTCCACCTGGCTCAACACTGTGAATTAAAGGATAGGGGGCAAGGGTGACCAATTCCTGCCCTGTGCAGCAGCTGCATCTCCTCTGTGACTGCACCACCTTCCCAGATGCCCCAGCATAACAGGAATGAGTTTTTGCAAGTGGAACAGCAGGACAGCAAGGATGATGGTACACCCAGCACAGAGCTGTTCCTAAAGTTAAGTTGGTCTATGCTCTGCATCAAACTGCTTCCAGAAAGAAAACCAGTCATGTCATTGTTGTAGGAAATGCCTTCTGAAGGGAACAAGAAGGCACAATATGCAGACTGAACTCACTTCTTTGGAAAGTCAGCTACCTCCCTGGAGCCTGGATTAAAGATGTGAAGAGAAAGATTCCTAACCTGAGGAATGGCACCTTAAAACACTAAGTGATAGTTGGTGTTTTATCAATAAAAGCTGATTTAACAGTTACCTATTACTCATACATTATGGGGCACACACAACAAAGTATAAAATGTTTGACCTTTTGTTTGTGCAATTACAGCTCTGCTGGGAACATGAAATCCCTGGGAAAGGACCTCTGGCAGTCATCTGGTCAATCATGCTGCTCTGACACAGGATCAACTTGACCTGAATCATTCCTGGAGGTCATTCTTAAGGACTGCACACAGCAGACTCCCCGGCCTCCCCAGGCAATCTCGATTTAATTGAGAACTTCCTCAACCAAAGCATTAGCTGTATGTTTGTGCTAAAGAGCTACAGCAGCTGAGGCGGCCTCATGCAGGTCCTCTGCCAGATGGGCATGTTCCCCTGGGGGTTATGTGGGCATCTCTTTAGCTGAAATCTCAGGAAATCTCCCTAAGAGTCTGACAAAAAATGCTCTGAATTAAACACGTTCTATAAAGGAGAGAGCTGTTTAGATGAATACACAGCTATCCACCTCCTTTTCAGCAGGGTATTTAGATGCGACCCTTGAAATTCTACTTGCCTGTGCATTTGATGTTTGATGAATGCTAAAGTACTTTGCTGAATTGAGCTAAAACATCCGTGTTTGTTTTCCTTAACTAGCTGAAGCCACATTAGTTAAAGGATTTGGACAGCACAGGAAACATTAAATCATCTGGCAATCAGTAACAGTAGAGTTAATTCATGTGCTTGATTTCCAAAATATAAGTGAGGGCAACTGCAAATACAGCATTACCACAAGTGGGTCCTGTGTTATTTCCACGCCAGTCCAAAACGATGGCACTTTAGCATTCAACACATGTCTATCCCTTTAATTTCATATCAACTCATATGTTAGACCTCACTTTTCTGCCATGGCTCATATTTTTACAAGGAGGTACATCACCAAACACAGTATACAGATTTAGGTTTAAAAAATCGTGGTAGGCTTCACCTACAATGCCATGAAGCAGCCTCAGAAAACCTCCCAGAACAGGAATGCTCTACTTTGATTCTGACAAAGGTGAGGGACGCGAGATCACTGGAAATGTAACCTCTTTGCAATGGTAATAAAGTGTTAGTAGATATCACACAATGATTTTAAGTTCTCGGCGAGCTGGTCATGTAGCTTGGGTTAGGGTAAACTTGACTGTTCTGGTTCTACAAGTATTTGCGATACAGCTTCACAGAATAATAACACATGGGAAACATGTAATTCCAATAGAGACATCCAGTTGAACTTTACTTGTTGCAGGAGAAATGAACTTACTGCTATCTGGCTGAGCAGGAACCTGAGGGCAGCCAGGTCTTCTCAGAGCTTCCTGCAGGTTTGCGCGCTCCAAAGCTCTGGTGCACAGAGCAAAAGCAAATGCCATTAATTCCACATAAGTTTCAGATCATTTGCTGGTTTATGCAGTGTTCCAGCCAGCTAAATTTGTCCCAATAATTTATGCATTTGCACCAGCAAGCAGCCTCCCTTATGAGCCATTGTCAACAATTGTCACTAGCTTTTTCACATATCCTTCAGTAACTAAATATAAACAAATCTGTGTCTTCAGAGAGCATGCTGTTGTGGTACAGGCCACACTCTAATTAATGAATGGTGTTTTCAGTGAATTACTTCCCTCTTTCAATATTGATTTAGGATGATTGCTGACCAGGGGATGCCTTTAAACCTCTAGCTTCTTGCAGAGAACAGTGTGATTGGAGGTGTTTTTTTTTCTTAGAATGGTGTTCAGATACTGTATAGCACTATGATGCGGAAAACCTAAGGTCAGTAGTTATGCCTGAGACAAAGAAGAAATTTTATTTTTTTTTCTCCTGTGGAATATGTGCCACACACCACTGCTCATTTAATCCCAGAAGCTGCCAGCTAGCACAGACTGGCAAATTAGCCTGAACAGAACTGCTCCTACAGAGCTGAATTAGCATGGACACCTCTATCATACATCCACTATGATGGATCAGGTACCAGTTGTTCCTTCATCCCAACCAATTCCACAAGAACCAAAGCTATGGCCATGCTTTTCATCATTGTCCTGCCATCTCAGTCAAATACCAGCCAAAATCAGTCCATCACTGTAAAACAGGCCAGCCTGATGCAGCACAAATCATGGTGGAAAACCCTACTGACCAAAATGCCTTCCAGGCCACTGTAGCTTGAGGAATGGTTTGGGTGGGTTCACTCCCACCCTTGTACTGGGAGCAAAGCAATTGCACTCAAACTAGCTCAAAAAGAGAGCAACCAAAGGTGAGGAGCTGCTTTTCACCAAGACGTAGTCACTGGCTGAAAATTCCCTAGATAAGACTGGAGTGGTTGCCAGTAGTGACTGCTCTAATTAGAAGCAAAACAATTTTCATTACCACCGCTTTGCTTCACACAGCAGCCATGTCCTGGAGCAGTCACCGTTTTAGCCTTACTGTCCATTACTGTAAAAGACGCCTCTGCTCTGCAAATATCTGCTCAGGCCATGCAAACAAACATCCTCTCTATAATTTTAAAGGGCAGCTGCAGTTCCACGTGAGTGTGCAGCGAACACTCGTGTTCAGGGTGCACCAGATCTCCTCTTCCCATGTAATGTTCCCCCTCCTGCAAAAAAAATGAGATTTCAGGTACCAGATTTGAAACTCCAGCCTGGCTCAAAGTCAAGACATTCTTTTTGGCCTGCAGATCATGACCTCTCTCCTGATTCAGGTGGAACAGATAGTCTGTAGTGAAATGCTGTTTGTGCCTTGTCTGTACATTTTAGGGTAAAACTTCTGGAACCAGGGTTTAATTATTGCATGACAACTGGCACGGATTTTTGCTCCCACCTTCCACTGATTTGTCACTTCCACAATCCTAAAGGATTAAAGGGAGGAAAGGTTTTGTCTCTGAAGAAGCAGAAAATGGCTGATGCCCTACAGAGAACAAATCTTGGGGGAAAAATACTAGACTGTCACTATTTTCAGCACAGAGAATTCAAATAAGAAAGTTGGCAGTATGTGTGCAGAGAGGAGAGGACGTTCAGCGTGTGGGTGCCAGGGAATGCAGTATCTCACTTCCAGAGCAAAATCAGCTTATGTTTGAAGCATAACGTGACCACGTCCCTCACTGAGGGCTCGCTCCTTTGCCTGCCATGGAGAAATTACCATGACTCCAAAGCTGACATGATGGCTTGTGCAGCAGAATGCTGCTGTTAAGCAGCAGGCACAGCTAGTCAGCATCTGTTGGCTCAAGAACAAGCAAAAGCCTTTACCCTACACTGCAGAGCACTGAACCTGAGCTGAGAGGTACCAATCACTTTTGCAAGACCCCAGTTCACACTGGGGTCATTTAAGATGTTCACAGTTTACTTTGAAATTATTTAATCTGCACAGCTGCCACCAGGAACGATTCTGCCTTCCTTTCCACCTCCAGCTGCGCATTCCTGCCTCCTCCCCTGCACTCAGCAGATGGTGAGCTGGCTCACAGGCCTGAGACGTCTGAAAAGCAACCACACTAGTGTGTCAGTGGGGTCAATTAGGTGGTGTGAGCACATGGCTGAAGGGGAATGAGTTTAAAAGGATGAGGTAGGATCCCATTTCCATCTCTGGAAGTGTTCAAGGCCAAGTGGACAGGGCTCTGAGCAGCTTAATCTAGTGGATGGCACCCCTGCCAATGGCAGCGGGTTTGGAATTATATGATCTTAAGGTCCCTTCCAACCCAAACCATTCTGTGATTCAATGATTATTCTCTGATTACCCTTTCAGTAGCTGTGAGGACTTAGCCTAAATTCAACCAGGCAGGAGGGATCTCAGCTGTGCTTGATGTCTGAGCTCACTGCAGGGTCTGCAAGGAACATGTACAGGACCTTGAGAACGTATTTCACAAGACAAAGAGTTGTGCTCTGCAAGCACTGACTGTTCCAGCGTTCAGGCTGGGGAAGTTTCCTGCTCAAAGGTCCCAATTCGACCTTGTTCATCAAATGCTCTATGAGTTATTTGAAAAGGTACTTGAAACAATGAAATGAATGGGGCTTATATCCCAGCAGCCAGAAAGACTTCAATTGTAAGGTTAGCTTAGCTGTTCTGTCAATAGAAAATATTTCCCACACTTGCTGTTTCCACTACTCTTTGTAGCAGCACCATACTGATTTCTCCATCAAATACAGTCCAAAAGAACAGCCAGGTCAGCACAGCAGCAGAGGTGATGGTTTCCATCATCCCTTCCCTTTCTCACTCTGAGTGATTTCAAGCTCACAATCTCATGTTCCAGT